TCTCTCTCTCTCTCTCTCTCTCTCTGGCAAAACTCTCTGAAGATATTCAAGACCTCCCCTTCTTCCTTTCTGCTTGTACTACACCTTGTTCTCCTAAAATCTGGCACTTTCTGAAACGCCGCGTACGTAAATATGGGGGAAATAAAGGGGATCGAAATTCGCGTAGAAGAAGAAAGGGTAGATAATATACATAGGCAGATAGCCTCCGACTAATCAAGGTAAGTAGAGTTCCCTCTCGCTTCGTTCGACATTAAGCCCGAGTGGTTTAACCATTCCTGGCAAGAGTTACGGGCCAAGCCGGCAGCAATATTTTTAACCGATCCGCTTTCAATATTTTCCACCGTGGTGCCAAGCAACGGGCATAAATGGTATAATATACGAAACACGTCGTTTCAGCGTTTTTTGGCACGAGTTTCCTCCCCCTTCCCCCCCCCCCCTCAGGAGCAACATTCTCGTCTTTTCTCGCGCGAAAAACACTCTGCGCAACTCTCGCATATCCAGCGACAGAGGACCATATACGCGGGGGAGGGCAAAAATCGAACGCGAGTAAGAAACTGGCGAAGCTAAGTAAATCTAATTACCTATGTTCCGTTTTTCGTTTTGGGAAAAGAGCTCTGGGAAAGGGGTGGGAAGGGGAAAGCAATCGCGAGGGAAAAAAATTAGTAATTCCATTAATTCCGGGCTGCTTTAATTTGCCCCGGCTGGGGAGCACGAATCTGCTCGATCAAAAACTGGGATTCGAGGCAGCGAATAATGAATCGGATTGTCGGAGGCTACATGTGACACAGCGCTGAGGGAAAAATCCGATATTCGATCTTGGCTTACTCGATTGGGACTCGAGTGTCCGAGTACGTTCGAGTTTTTGGACACTCGTACGATACAGGTCTGAATATTTGAATGTGTCCGAATACATTTGTAGAGAATTTCGGGAGGGAGCGCGATAATGTGAGAAAATACACTGCTGCAATTTTAGTCGATATGACGACGAGAAACTCTTTCGTCAAAATTTCAATTTTTGAAACGAGGGATCTCGTTTGGATTTCGTAGTTATTTCTAACGAATTAAGTTAACACCTTGTAAAAATTTGCGTAAATGTTAATTAAAAACACGCACTTCCAATCCTATTAATATCTCAACATTGAACAGACATACTTGAACTAATGTGCCTGTACAATATTAAAAGTTAATTCTCAGCCATCTTCGATTATTACCATTTTATTTCTGCTAATTGGCGTTGTAGCCAGCCTATTTACTCTGCACGTTATAATTAAATTAAAAAGATTCCTTTGAACCGTATTTTCTACACTCGTGATAATTTGCACGTCGAGAGCCGTTTAATGCGAGAGCGATGTAGATTAAAAAAAAAAAAAAAAAAAAGAAAAAAATAAAAAACAACAATGAGGGATGAAGTGAAAATTTCATAAAATATGATAATATTTACAAAGAAGTTACGTACTCTTTTGTACGAACCCATCGCAAAGCTACGTTTTTACGCTACTGTGCAGAACAGAATTGGGGATTAAATTTTCAAAGTGTGGTGTTACACTAAACAAATTGCAAAAAAAAGTTTGACTTGCACCACCTTCGCATTAAAAACAGCTCGTGAAAATGTGTTCAAAGTAACAACGCCTTCTGTAACATTCTCAGCAACTTTTATTCCCCCAAATTTCCCCCGAATTGCGCGTACCGAGGATTATAAATTCGCACCAGGAATCCGTTGGAACGAACATTCCTGCCTTCTACATTCGGTCGTCCACAGTCGAAAAATATACCGTCGTCGTTGTCGTCAGCTAAAGGGACATTCAGATCCGTGCCGATCGCTAGCGTGTTCAGAGATAAAACGGCCAGTGTCACTCTTGGACGAGGATCGGATTCAGGTTGAGGGGAAGAGGATATACATCCCGTAGAGCACACAGAAAACGGCCGTAACTTGAATTCTTTCGTGTTCTCCCGTGTTTCTAGTTCGTGATCAGGCACACACAGTCGTTCGAGAGTGCTTTCTCCCGGCCACGTTCGTTCTCTCTCCTTGCCTGCGAAAAATCCGGCTCCGGTGAAAATCTGCCGCCGTGCATCGACGCGTCTCGAACGCCTGGCCGCATCGATTCGTCCGGACTCTCGTGGCTCGGTAAAAAGAGCTTCCGAGCACTCGATCGGATTTGCGCGCGATGGTCGCGCGGAGGAGGGAGGTGTACACGTGGTTTTTCAGTAGCACGCGAGCTGAAACGAAAGCGGGAACACAGCGCCGGCTATGGTGGGTGACGGTCGTTTCTGAAATGCACGTTATTCGCTGCCCCGGAGACGCTGACCTACATAAGCATTTTTCCAATTCCGCTCGTGGCCGATAGAAAGCCACGAGCGGAGAGCCGTTTGTGTAGAAAGTTCTCATATTATTTAGCGTCTCCCCTAGCGCGTTCGAGTTCTCTCGCCGCGGAAATCTCGACGAACGAATTACCACAGTTAGTTCGAACGCGACGGGCTTTTCCTCTTGGAAATTTTGGCGCAAGAAGGCGCGCTCAACGAAGCCTGTAACTCTCGAGTCGCTTAACTTGTTTTCAAAAGTTTCGAATGAATTTATCTTTGCCAGACTTGCGCCAGGCTTGTCGTTTGCCAATCGTTCGATCGTGGCGATGACGAACGATTGATTTCAGAGGCCAATCGCGTTAATACCATACATAACGCAGCGCGTGGATGCAAAACGCTCGTTTCAATCTAGTCGTTGTCACGGTTTCCATTTAAATTTTTTCGAACGATTCGAACAAAGTGAAAAACTTCAAATATATAAGCCACAGACAACTAGACAATTCTTGAAAAAAAAAAAAAAAAAAAAAAACGCACTTGCCCCGCGCACATGAAAATGAGCCATAGGTCAAGTCACGTTAAAACGAACGAACACTAAAAAGTCAATAATTTGCGTCACGACTCTATAAGCTAACCAGCTCGTAGATAATTAAAACAACGCGACGCAACGTATGCAGCGTACCAGAGTAGAAGGCGAGTATGTCAATGCACACACCACACACGTGCTTATTGGCTCTATATACCGAGGCTAGTTATATCGGTTTTTTTTTTTTCTTTTTTTTTCTTTTTTTCGTCAGGGAGGAAATAAACGATCGCTAAAACCAATGGCTGTTTCTTGTCAAGCCGATATATACCGCGCAACAACCAAGTTAAGATAGAATCCAAACCATGGAGAAGACAAAAACTTGCTGGGTCGTTAATTAGGCGCAGCGCGTCGCGCAATGAGACTATATCGATTCGATTTCCACCGACGACAAAGTGGAAGCGCGCCACTTCTCTTTTGTTCGATTAGCCGGCGAATAGGAGGAGACGAGAAGATCGAGAGAGACAAGAGGAAGAGGAAGAGGAAGGTAAGAGGAACACGATTGACCGGTGGGGGCTTTTGCCTCACCCGGTTGCAAAACAAATTGCATCGTCGCCGAGCGGATTTTTGCTGCTGAGATTAATGGGAAGTTCGGGTTGCTTTGAAGCGGCGGCAGAAGCTCCCGAACCTCGAACGGCAAAGAGTCTTCAATTATTAATAAATTGAGGCCAGCAGCCGGCGTTCTTTCCACCGCCCCGTCGTGCCCCTCCGCGAGCATTTTTCCCTCCGTCAGCGGGACACAAGTGCTGCCGCCTCGCTTCGTGGATGTCCACGATGTAAATAAGTCGCCGGCCGACACTGGAAAAAGAGACTACTGCAAAGAAGTGCCTGTACGGGGGGGGGGGGGGTTTCACCGGGCGTCTTTATTCCTTTAATCAGTTTCAATTTCTTCGAACAACGTTCACGGTTCTATTGTTGTCGAGTTCCGTGTGTGTACGTAAATTTAGAAATGGTTGATAAATTTTACACGTTTTACTTAACAGTGGCGAGATTCAGTCTGCGTGGTTAGCTTCAAGTTCGGAGTAGCTAGAGAAAAATTCAACGAACCTCCGCAAATTAGCTTACACCGACGAACACGTCTTTTTTTTTTCTTCTTCTTTTTTTTCTTCTTCCTTACACATTCTAATTGGAGAGAATTGACGAAGAGAACGTTGCGACGGGATGTAGGATAGGATGATATGAGAGGCTGTGAAATTACTCACGTGATCAATGTTGATCTCTCCCTTGTACATAAACTCGACCAGCACTTTGATGTCTGAGAATTTAACGTCCCGCATTATGACAATGGGGTCTTTCTCCTCGTATTGCGACAGGATCGTGTCGAAATACGTGCTGCATGCTGATAGAACCACCTGCGAAAACAAAATGCGAAAGGTCGCGTTAATGAAGGGACTTCATCACGGGGAACGATCCGTCGAAAGTTTCGACGCTTGCAAATCAACCATTAAAGGCCGGGCAGAACCGGTTACGCGCGGGCAACGTGACCGACAAACGCGTCCTTGACAAATATTTGAGTTCAATGGACAGGAGGATATCAAGAACCAAGGAAATTAAGGTTCCACAACGAAAGTTAATTCGTAGGTCCGGGCAAGGGCACGCCACGCCGTGTCGCTCTTCATTAATTAACCCGAAAAAAACTGGCGCGTCTCTGTTATTCCACCAATTCAGACGCATACATACACAGAC